TATGGAGATTAGGGTATTTTGGTGTAGCAAAGAGTATAGATTTATAGCGTACCTTCATTATGAGTATTTACCTTCAATTTATAAAAGAAAATCCTAAGGCCATCAAGATATCTTCTCTTTGGAATATAGGATATATTCTCCTGAATCTAATCTACGAGAAATCCTAAGACCATCAGTATATCTTCTCCTCTTGAATGAAGAATTCGAATGGTAGAAAATAAGGATTTTTTTCAAAGTTAATATAAAATGTTGTAAATTAAACATTGCAATAGATACATTTGCCAACCATTTGTAAGTATGTTGTCAGAGAATCGCTACAACTTTATATATACTTGCAACAATTTATAAATCGCTTGACAATGATCCTTCTTTTGTAAGTGAACTAGAAAGTTCTTTTTATAGTTCTCGTAACTCTACTTGCAAAAACAATATATCTAAGAGTAATGATTCCCACTATAATAATGTCACAGCAATTTTTTTACGTGTTGCTGTTAAAACCGCTACAATTGCCTTACCTACTGCCACAATGTCCTAGACGTTGTAACTTAATTGGTGCAATATAATCTATTGTAACTTATTTGGTATGATAGCACACACAACGATCCAACCCCAACAAAAAGAAAAAGGAAAAAAAAAAGGGCCATGGATAAAAAAAAAAAAAACCAAATACATTAAAAAAAATTGCTTATGCATCTTATTATACTCATTTTTCTATTACATAGTCTATAGAGAGAAGTGGGTCATAACACTAAGAGAGGAAAATTAAATTATTAGTAAGGTCATTTCTAACTATTTTGTTAAACAAAAATAATGTGCATTGAGTGAGGAGGAGGAGAGAAAAAAAAATACTAGTAGTGTTTGTGTTTTCTTTAATACAACATACATAGTCCATGAGCTCGGGAAGAGAAGTAGAGCCCTGGTCAACCAAGGGAGGTCCAACCCTTCTTGATCATTCATCATTCAATTCGATGCGAAGGTGGCTTCGTTATCGCTCATGATTTGGTATAGAGTTCGCGCGTAGTTGTTGGTCTTCCCAATGAATGATTTGATTAAGGGTTGAGAGTTTTTCAAGGGCAACAATATTTGCCCTCTAGAGGTGGCTCAATTGGAAAAGCGCTTTTATTTTTGGAGAATCTTAGGGATGATCATCTATGTCGTTGCTTTATGCCTCTCTAGACTAATCCCTACTTGGGATTTTACTAAGGCATGAAAAAAATATATTTAAGTCAACTAAAAGCACGTCTTAAAATATTCATAATGTTTGGTTTATATGGAAAATTTATACTAAATATATATTTTTAGTCCCTGGTGTCTAGGTTTTTTTTTCAATTTATTATTCCCTATTGTTTAAAAGCTTTAGTTTAGCTAGCTTTTTAATTTAGTCTTTTATTGTTGGTGAATATTAAAATTAGTTGATGGTAAACTTACATGACATAATAAAATAAATAGTGAATTGGTGAAGCTTTAAAGGAGAAAAAAATCATCCAAAAAAACTCTAAATTCTACTAATATGTATATCTTAGAAATTAGTAGGAATTTTTCTTCTTTTAAGATGACTTTTTCCCTCTATAAATTTGTACCAATTCACTAAGCATTATGCTAAAAAAAAATTAATATCATGAACATAACCACATAGGTAAATAGATTTACATGGTATAATTAAAATAACATTATACATCAATATATTATTGGAAAAAGAAAACTTTAGAGAATACCTAAATGAATTTGATACTATAAAATACAAAATAGATGATAAAAAAAAACTAATGTAAGTTTATAGTAATATAGAGAATGAGATATAAATAAAACGTCTCTGTTTCATTAGAGAAATGACCAACTCTACGAACCTCGACTCGGACCGAAAGAATACCTGAGGGACGAGCTAGAACTAGCTAAACAGGTGAATTGCAAAACATAAGACACTCTGATGCCCAAATCAGGAAGTAGATGAGCTATATTCGAGAGAGTACAGTATTCGGGTACTTGGGATAGAGGCAGGTGGTCTCTATTTATAAGCGAAATACCAGACAAGACTTCCAACAGGGCCTCAAGGGCTCTTATGGTATGCGGGAATCACAGCGTGTTGTCGTGGAATCTGTCAGATAATAATAAGACTGAGCAACATGGATTAGGTCGACTCGACCAGAGCATGGGAACAAGGCCTAAGGAAATCCTGATCGGCTTGGTCGTATAGTGCACCGGCTCGGTGAGAGAGTTCAATACCGAGGTGATGTTACTTAGCTCTAATGACTCAAAGCCATGTGTAGTTCTCCTCAAATCAAGATGTGTCACGTGTGAGGTAAAAATCCACCTCCAACAGTCTCATATATGGCCATGTTAAGTTTATGGATTTCATTCGGTATTAATAAATTCAAATACGGGTGGCATAAGATCCGAGCTCATGAATTGAAGGTTATTCATGTTTGATAAGATATTATATAGTGAACTATTCAAGTTGAATCTAAAATGAGAAATAGTATTTATCATTCTAAATCTTTGGGAGCTTCTTATTTGACCATCCAAATTTAAATAATTTTAATTGGTTGGCGATAACTTATGTTTTCAAAGTTTTTTTTATTTTAATAAAAGGAATTTTACGAAAAACAAACATAGTAGTGGGCGCAAGCGTTAGTTCTTCTGGCACCTGATCTAGAAGATGTTCAAGTGAAGTTCCATATGGACTGGGTGTGGGCTTCTTATGTGGGCTTGGACTTGGGCTGGGCTTGCTGGTGAAGGATCTATCTTTTTCTCCTCTCTTGAGACCTAAAATAATTTTTTTTTTCTTTGCCTCCATAAAAAAGTTTTATATAATATTAATAACTCAACTAACGCTTTTTTTCACATTGATATGAAAAATATTATGGCAAAATACATTTTTTGTTCTTTTTCAAAATAAACACTTTTGGTCCCTAAAGTTTGAGCTAGGTGTCTAATTAGTCCTTGAAATTTCAAAATGAACATTTTTTGTCCTTGAGATTTAAAGTAACTGTTAACTTGGTCCTTAAAGTTTTAAAATGAACACTTTTGGTCCCTGTGTCTAAGTAGCTGTCAACCGGTTCTTATCGATTCGGTTCAATTCTTGCCTCTATTTAACTGAACCGATTTCTTTTTTTTCCCTGACCGAAAACCGAACCGAACCGCCAGATTTTCACCCCTACCCAAAATCATCTCTTCAAGTAGCTTAAATTTTATTTCAAATTCTTTTTGTTAATTAATAATAATATTTTAAAAAAATCTGGCTACTTTGTCTATTTAAAAAAAATTATATTAAGAATTAAAAGTTAAAGTTTTTCCTTCCTCAAATATTTTTTGCCCTGCCACCAAACACAAACAGACACAAAAAAGGAACATATTCATAAACCCTTCTGCTTTCAATTTTGTCGGCTGCCCTGCCAGACCTCTCTCTCTCTCTTTTTTTTTTCTTTTTT